GAACTGTGCACCTCTGGGATTGTAGTTGCAGCTTCTTGCCACTAGGCCACCAGAGCTCCCCTGTGAATGGTTATTTTTAAAAGAAAAACGAACTGGGGCGGGAGAAAGGGAAGGAGAGGGAGTAAAATGTGCAATAATGAATGAGTGAAATTCTAAAAAATATAAATTCCTGTCTAGTGTATAAAAACCTGAACAAATTTCCTTTTATCTGCCTACTTCTCCACATAATACTGCCTCAGTGAAGCAATCAGATTTATTTAAGTTTGTAAGCTCTCAAATGTTAGAAGAAGGAGAAAACAAAATTAAGTCTAAGTCTATCTTATGTGCAAATCAGAAATCACTGTGTCAATAAGGCTATGCTGCTTCTTAAAAATTTTATGAGAGAAAAAAAATACTACAAAGTCCTGAAAGCACGTTACATGTGATTTAAAAGAATAACAGTAATATGTGATTTGAGAATATTACAAAAAGCATACATAACAGAAGGTTATAAATTTAATAGTAAAGGGGAGTTCTGGTGGCCTAGTGGCAAGGAGCTGCAACTACAGTCCCAGAGGCACACGGTTCGAATCCACCAGATGCTCTGCCGGGAAAAGGAGGGACAATCTCCTCCTGTACCAGTCAGATCTAATTTGACGGTACACTCACACAAAAATAAAAGAAAAATAAAAAAAAATGTAATAGTAAAACCTTAAGAAAGCTGTATGTAGCTGAAAAGAAAGATTACTGAAAAGAATAAGACGTATCTAGCATTATATAATATTCAGCTGATATAAAAGAGTTAATTTTATAATCTTCATATCTCTTGACCGTTATTTTCTAAACTCAATTACTTATGGCATTATATGTAAACATATATTTTGCTTAATTAGTATTCTTAAGGAATGAGGTATTCATATAAGTGGATTATTCATATAATTGATACTTATTTCATCAAACACAAACTCTTTCTGAACTTTGCATGTAAAAAAACTTACTCTACATTTTTAGCTGCCAGCTGAAGATGAAGTCTTACTCCAGAAATTAAGAGAAGAATCCAGAGCCGTCTTTCTGCAGAGGAAAAGCAGAGAACTATTAGATAATGAAGAACTACAGGTAACAATAGACTAGTAACCACTTCCTTTTTTTTTTTTTTTTTTAACCATTTCTTATTTGTTACTGAAATCTTATAGGATCTTGTGCGTTTTAATGGAGTCATGCCACAAAGTGGTTAAACAGCAGGCTCTGAAGCAGTGGTTCCCATGTGAGCTTGCATGGGCTTCATTCCTGAGGTATAATGTGCGTTTGTTTTTATAAGTCCCTAGATGATTCTAATATGCAGCCAAGATTGAGAACCATTGCTAATGGGTCATATTGTAAGTATTCAAATCCTTGCTCTGCTGTATGACCTTGGACAGTAGACAACATTTCTTTTTTTTTTTT